ACAGTAGAGATGGGAATAACCTCCGGCCATCTAGTGAACCTGTCAATACAGGTGAGTAAATGAGTATACCCGTGTGACGGTGATAATGGGCCTACAATATCGATGTGGACGTGAGCAAAGCGAGTGTCAGGCGCAGCAAACGTACCGACAGGTGCAGCTATGTGCCTGTGCAATTTGGATCGTTGACATTGTAAACACTGTTTCGCCCACACTCGAACGTCCTTATTCATGGACGTATCGTGCAGCAATCAAACGAAGTGTTGCTGCGATTCCTGGGTGTGATAAACCATGTTAGGTGTCGAAAACTAAACGACTGTAGGGTGAGGGTACTACTGGTCGAGGTAGGCCTGTGGATATGTCACATAAGATGGTACCATTATTAGTCGTTAACGGTATCGCCTGACATCTTAGGGACTTTGAATGGACCGCCTCTTCGCAAGATGAATCATTCGCTTAGGCGTCAGCCATAGCACTGATATCTAAGGGGGACTTTATTGCATCGACGTGAATACTTGATAAGCGTCCGCAACACAATTCGGCTTGCATTGGACATGTTGAATGTCAGTCGTGAACTGTGAAATATAGTCTAAGTGTCTGGTTTCTCGGGGTGAGTAACGGTCAGACTTAGTATGCAAAGCACATGTATGAGGCTTATGGTCTGTATATAGGGTAAAATCTGGACCTTCGATTACATGTCTAAAATGCTTAATGGCGTTGTAAGCTGCCAGCAGCTCGCGTCCAAAAGCACTATATTTGGTTTCTGTGGGCATAAGGCGTCAAGAGTAAAACTCAAGAGGTTGCCAAAACCCAGTAACCTGCTGTTGAGAGACCGCTCCAAGTGCAAAGTCCGAAGCGTCAACTGCTATACTAAGCGTGGCTGACGGTACAGGATGCAAAAGCAGCGTGGTGTGCACTAAATATGTCTTCACCTCTTGGAAAGCTACTCGTGTGGCATCCGTAAGCAAGAGCTTACGTGGATTACCACGAAGTAGGTCCGTAAGCGGTTGTAGTCGTTGAGCGGGGTGTGGGATTATTCGTGTACAGAAATTCAATAAACCCAAAAACGCCTTTAGGTCATTGAATGAGGATGGTAAAGTGTACTGTCTGATAGCATGTACTTTATCCTCGCATGGTAAAATACTCTCATATGTGACCTTGTGGCCAAGGAAAACCAGTTCCTTTTTGCAAAGCTCACATTTATCGGGGTTAACCACAATGCTATTATAAGATAAACGTTAAAATAGCAAGGTAAAATGGTGATAATCTTCATCTACATTGGCAGAGGCAATAAGCCAATCGTCAATGTAAACGTGAACAAAACCTAAATCTCGAGTTATACTGTCGATAAACCTCTGGAAAGTCTGAGAAGCGTTTCGCGAACCAAAAGGCATACATCGGAACTCAAACAGACCAAAAGTAGTCGTGACAGCAGTCTTTTCAACCTCTTCAGTGGCCACCGGGATCTGATGATAAGCTTGTACCAGATCGATCTTAGAAAAAATAGTCATGCCATGAAGTGAAGCCGTAATGTCATGTAAATGCGGGATGGGATAATTATCAAAACGAGTCACTGCGCAAAGTGACCTATAGTAGCCAAATGGTCGCCAGCTAACGCTGTCCTTTTTTCATGGACATCCTAACTGTGGTAATTCAGGCCTACGAGA